TTGCTTTGACATTTCAATGTAAAAAAGAAGAACTGCCAAATTGCATATTTCACAATTTAAGACAGCAGATCCAATGAAATTAAGTATAATATTTCACACAATTATGTGGTTGGTTTATTTAATCTAAAAATTTATCAAAGATCATTCATTCAAAAACTATGTCAATGATTATAGAAATAAAAAAGATATTCTAAAAGCGTTGCTGTATCAACTGCTTTCGATTTTTCAAGTGTCTTAAGTGTTACGAAAATAATGTCATTGACAGTAAGAAAATTACAATGTATAGATGTTTTGTATGAATTTGGAGGCTACTTTAAATAAATTCGAACTGCTTAACATGTGTTAGATTTACCTAACATAACTTGCACATCACATTGTTTTTTTTATATGTATATTTAGATAAATTTAGTTAATGTGTTTTGCTAAACCTATGCTTAAATTAAACTCAAGAATATCATCAATAACTAAATTGTACGTCGTTGATTTTTGTGTTCTAAAATCTCTTGTATATGTGTAACTATATTTAATTATCAAATGGTAATACAAAGTACTCTTATTTTATCTTAACATAGCTTTCAGTTCACATTTACTTTATTTGATAAATTTATTATTTGTGTTTTGCCACACCACTTATTAAATTAAGCCAAGGAAAATGTCAAAAAACTAAGCAGTACATAGTGTTCTTTTGTTTCTAAAATTAATGAAATATCTGTTATTATCTTTACTTAATGGTAAGTGCGAAATGTAAAGGCAATGGACAATGGAACTGATTAAAAGAACTGGTTTGTATATTTAGGTGTTTGTTGATTTTTTTGTAGAGTAGAAGACGTAGAAGATGCAATGAAAGAGAGAAAAGAATTTATTTATACAAATAAATACATCTGCCTTAAAAAATAAGGTTGCCAATGACACAGAAAAAATTGTACACATAAAATATTGAAGGATTATACAGCTATAAGATTGAATAATTTTGATGTTTGCCATATAGATGATTTCTCATTATGGTCAATGAACCTTTTAATGTTTCATGAATAATAATTTTCAAAAAGGGTCTGTCCAAATCATATTGTTTCCAAAAGTTAACAAAAAATTTTGATAATGTTCCTCTAGAACCAATAAACTGTATTTGCTATTACATTTTTTAGTCCTTGATAATTTGTTATTAGTTTCATATTAGTTTTGTCTGCTGACTTTAATGATAAATTATTTGTTAAATTTTTTTATAGTGTTGATATAGTTTCTTTAATATTTCAAAAGACTATTGATAAGGCACAACAATATTTCTAAAGTGTATAACAGCTGACTTAGTTTTGATAATGATTTATTGTGAGTGAAGAAACTGAAGATGGAAGGATTTGTGATTTAATATGAAGAAGAGTGAAATTAAAAAAAAATATTCATTAAAATTTGATACTTACTATTTTTGCAACTTCAAAATTGAAATTTAAAATGTCAAAAATAAAGAGAAAAAAATTTAACTAAGGGAGATGAAGGTAAATCATGTATGTGAAAGTTTTATTCGAAAATTTGGTCAGTGTTTTTCTTATCAGCCTACACAAGATTTAAAATTAATCAAAACCAAATTGGTGCTATCCACTACTTACCAAAAGTTTGTATGAAACTCAAAATATTAAAATATCAAACCAAAAGGCGTTTTGGCTGCACCTTAGTTTACGCCCTACACTCATTCAAATGAAAAATATCAATATATAGATTATTCGATATATTGATTATTTCATTGCGTTATTTAGGTTAGGTTTTAACCTAACTAACCAAACTTGATATATCGAATAAAAATCGACATACCGATCTATACAGTATATTCATTCGAATGTGTAGGACGTAAAATAAAGTGCAGCCAAGGTTTTTCTCCAAATCTGATTTTTACAACGTATGTATATGTAATAAGTGTAAAAAAGATATAACTAAAGAAATAGGGATTAAATAATTCATCATACACAGATGTATGGGTGAAATTACTAAGATTTCTTTACATCCTATAATTACAATGGTCATATAACTTCCACAGACCACTGAACTCCTGCATGCTAGATGCTAATTGTAGCATATGCTATTAGGGTAGTAATTGTCCAGATTAGTTTAGCAACTGTAGCATTACATTTTAACAATGCTTAGGCTATAGGAAATAATTCAATTACTGTAAGTTGGATGTCGTCATGGCCTGATTGGTACTTTAAACACGGTTAAAGTAAATATTATTTTGCTAAAATGTTAATTTACATTTATGATCGTCGAAATTTTGAACTGATTAAGTTATACCATATTTTAAAATTTACCTTTATACATTATACAGGGTGAGACAAAGGAACCGGACGTTTTTTAAATAAGCAGTACACAGTAGTTAAAAGGAATAAACTGGTTTTAATACTGTACATAGTGAGGTTAACATTTGCCATTTGTTACAATACAGTCATTTTTTGAAAATGACGTCATGCATATGGCGGCCATGTACTTATCTACAAATGTTCATTCTGGCCTGAAAATCATCTGAAACTCGGGTCAGGAGGTCTTGTTCAATGCCATTGATATCTTCTATGATTACAAACTTCATATCCTCTAGAGTGTGTGGTTTGTGAGCATGAACACGCTCCTTAAGAAACCCCCAAAGGATATAATCACTATTGGACAAGCCAGGTGATCTTGGTGGCCACGGTATGTCACCAAAGCGAGAAATCACCTTGTTAGGAAACATTCATTCAATACTGCTCTCACTCAGGCGATGTTTTCGGGTGTTCTCGAAGTTCTAACAAGGCCTGGTGGTTTATTTCTTGTTGTATTCCCAGTTGTTCGGAACCCTGAAACCCATCTTAATAGCGTATTTCGGCTTGGAACCGGTCAATGGCGTTCAATATTTAAATTTCGACTAAATTCCCGCTGGATTTTACGACGGATTCACCATTTCGGACCAAACTATCGTATGCGAAAAACGCAATGGTCTAGGTTCCACTGAGCTACTTCAACAAAAATGGCAAGCCTCACTGAAGGTAATGACATAACTTCAATCTTCCTACCACGTTCGACAACAATGGAACAGCTGTTTAAAAAACGTCCGGTTCCTTTGTGTCACCCTGTACAATGTATAATCGTCATTCACTTTTTTATGTTGACTTTTAATGTTATATCATTTATATAATTTAAGATATAGCCTATTTCAGCCAAATAAAATGATTCATGCTAAACAATTTATTTTCCTGCGTCATGGTTTCATTAAAGCGCATAAGCCACCCATAATCGCCGTCTATGAGATACATAATGAGCCCTAACTGGACTCTACCACAGTAGTATGTTTTCTGTGAGTACGTAAATAATTCGCATAAATCAATTCTCATTTTGACGGAAAACAAAACTGTATGGCTAAAATGATTTGTTAGTTCAATTAGGATTAGATTTTCTTGTATTATCCAAACTCAAAGTAGCTTCAAGTTAAATTTGTGTTTATTTCCGGCGTTGTGTTTTTGAAACGATAACATTATTCAAAGGAAAGTCTATGTCTATAGACACTTTACATCTAGAAACCTGTATGCGTTTCCAAACCTTCCTTTAGTGTTTACGCCCCTAAACATTAGTGTGAGTGTAAGTACAACAAGACACACTAATTCATCAGACATGATGTAACTCCCAATTAGTTTTAAGTTGCATAACCTTAATTTGGAGTTTTAAATATTTTTTTCTTCAAAAAAGCTTTTGAAGCTATTTTTAGGACTTTTCATCACAGTCTCGCCCCTTTCATGACGTGTTCTCTTATCAGAATAATCTGTCTGTCGTCTTGTCAGCTTATCTTATCATAATATCGAATCATTCTTGATATTACAATGATCTCTCCGTCAGCCTCCGTTTATACTTAGTGTAACAATGTGACAGTCAATGATTTTGTTACAAGGTAAGAGACTTGTATAGTTGTCAGGTTTACTAACTATAGAATAGTAGGTGAAACTATAATACTAACAATCTACATGCAGACTACCTCTTACTGAGTTGAATGGTTCTAATATACATTTTGAAAAATTACATACACCCTAATTGTTGAAATTTTTTAAATGTAATAAATCTTCATTCAATGGTAATTTTTATTGATAGAATATAGACTTTGGTAACATTTAAACCAGGGTTTTGCTTGCCAAGGATACCTAGCAAACCAATTTATTTGTTACACAATTACTGTTCAACGTTAAACAAACACAGAAGTGTGAACACAGAAAGGCTTAGTGTTGCTAATGTTTGGTAAATTACACTGGGAAACCTCTAGGTGACCAATTGCAGTGGAACACTTTATTTTAAGTTTGTCACGGGTTAGTTAATTTCAAACTAAAGGTCAAGCCATAAAGAAATTGAATTCTATAATCTAGGAATACAATATGATTTATAGACATTCGGCTATGCAATGTTCTAATATAACATACACTAAATAAGACTACATTTCTGTAATGTTATACATCGTCTACCGCATGCATTCCATCGTTTGGATAATTAACTCCATATCCACCGTTTATTACATTTAGTATGTTTTAAAGTATATAAATTCCAGCACACAAAAATAATTCAAAATGCCTTGGAAATGAGTTCCTTGACACTATTAACTCAGGTATTAAATCTAATGTCCATGAATACTGATTAATGAAAGGTCCACAACAGTAATGCTTGAATGTATCACATTGTTAAAACTCGTGGTTGTGCAGTTAGAATGATAGGAGAGAGTTTTTAATGTTAGGTAACGTTTCAAGTTATAGGAGTCTAACTTGATAGCTCATTTCTGCAAATCGTATTATTTGAATATTTGAATTTTAAAGGTTCTAATGCTACAGTAATGCCCGTTTGAAATATCGATGTTTCCAAATGAATACTTTACCCTAGGATTTGGGAGGGAAAGCAGAAGCGGCTGGTTAAAGATGTTTTCAATTTAAAGAGGTACGCAATAGAGATGTTCTGCTCTTGAAAAACAAATAGTTCGTTAAAGATTGAGCGCCATGGAACTGTTGCAGGTGTAGTCGTGGTGGTGGTCCTGGTTGCTGCAGTCACACCGTCCACAAGTAGGTTGACACATCTAAATACTATCTCTTGTCTAACGTTTTCAAGATGTATGTTTCAATGTATAAATTTTTACGTCATACATGTGCAGCGTGTAATACTACTTTTTGACCTAAAATCATTTAATGTTTGTGCTATTATTTAGTAGTAATAAAATCGTTGTCTTTTTTGTATAAATCAATAAACCATACCTTAACAAAATTCACAAATTGCCCGATATTGTTAAGGTAATTTTCCTTTGATGTACAATATTTTTGCTTTGGGGATTCTTTCATAGAATATTATTGCTCATAACAGTTTTAACTCACATCTGAGAGTAATATGCAGATTTATTAAATACTGCATTAGACACTTTATTTATCCTATTTCATATATTTTATGGCTTAAAGTAAAATATCTATCTACGGTAGACAACTTCGTATTTTTAGAGAAACTACATATAACCACAAGGCGTCATAGTAGGTTTCTAAATTTCTTTAATTTTTTTTTTTATTTGCACGAATTGCTTGTTAAATTTAGTCACAGTTAAATTAGCTGACGCAGTGTTAGAATTTAAGTAAAAGCCGAATGCCTTGAATATCATCGTCGTTAAGACATTTATATATTTAATCAAGCGTCAGCGGGTCATATGGACAGTTTTTCTAATATTCACAATTCATTCATGTGCGTCAATTTTGTATTATTATTATTATTATTATTATCATCTGTGTCAGTTTATTTTTTGAGAGGTCCATAGCATGAGCAACAGTTAACTCATTTCCTCTTGAACTTTGAAACTCGCTGCAAAAAATAATCACCCAACCGCGATGGAAAATAGACGGGATCTAGAATGTCTCCCATGTCTCGGACTTGTTTAGCAGCGTAACCCAAGGAGATGTTTCCGCTCCATTCACGCTCCTGTCACCCTCCCCATTCATCCCGACTTGCGTAAAACTAGCAGAAGTAATCTGTGAATGGATGTAACCCTAGTCTCAAGTTGGCCCCCCGGCTTATCTACGTTTCATCCAAACCGAGATTTTTTTTCATTAATTCATTGATACTAATTGTATATTTTTTTTAGTTTTACTTTAATTTTATGTATTTTTTCGCTTTGTAAATTTTAACATTATTCATTATCGCAACAACACTGAAATTTATAAATAATGTACCAGAATAATTTTGTTATCAAGTTGTCCCCAAAATAATGTAAAACGAATCAAGTTTCATATATTGTCCAATAAAATTGGTATAACTCACATCGTATTGTCATTTATCAAAATGTATATTATCAACATTATATGCGCGTCTTGAAACTATACTCTGATATTATTGTATTTATAATTAATCATAACTAATTATTATATATAATTTAATGTTTCCAGTTTATTTAATTTTATTTTATACCAGAAACGTATGTAATCAATGGGTAGAAACAAACCCTTTGCAACAATTTGAAACGTAAAAACATTTTTTTAACGATTGCAGCTGAAAATATAAAACGAAACGTATACCCCGAATTAATTACAACTTTTACAATATTTGCGAAGCATTTTTATTTTTGACTACATTTTGTTTCATATGATTGTCAAAGGAGATTTCAAACAAAAACTTGATGACCATCAGGCGAATCTACTGGCTGTGCTCATGCTGCCTAAAGGGACCAAGTTTCTCTGTATTGTTAGTCATCGGAAGAGACAATGCACATGATGCCTTTGACCATGGATAGAACTCCACATTTCATTCCCATGTCAAAGCCAGTTTAGTAGTTGAATTGAACCAATTAGTGCGCTAATGTAAATAATCATTGCTACTACGCCAACTTCTGGAATCATCAATTATTGTAAACAATAGCATTTTCTATGTGACAAAGTCGTCTACTTCAGTGCCGGTATCCAACAGTCAATGATAATACTCTGTGCATCCTGATCCTCAGCTCATGATGGTGGCGTGTTGGCGTGGTCCGTGGTCGTATCGTGGTCATCTTCTTGGCGACTCGGGAAGTCGTAACATTAGCATTAGCAGATTTAACCACGATATCGCATCTCTGCACCGTTATAAACTGCAAAACGAATACCAATTCCTGTTGAACACCTTTATTTTACGTTTTAAACGTTAGTCATCCAACCCCACGGAAATATAAAATAAACATTGATGATATCTGATTATTTAACCTTTATCTCTAATGTTACCTCTAGATGTTAGCTTTTAAGAAAGAGCCTTGATCTCTTAATTTCACCTCTATAAAGAAGACTTTTCATTTTATTATATTATTTCAAAGTATTTTATTGAATTATTACTTACTTAGTAAGTACTTGAATGATTACTTATTGAATTTCTAGGGGGTTTCTTTAATCGAGCAGTTTTATGATAAAAGGAAGACTTCGGTCTAATATCAGCACAAATAGCACTGGGCCAGTGAATACTTTGATTTTCTTGAACACAGAATACAAAACAATTTGAAATTTCGAATTCATACTGTTTTATTTCTTAACCCCCCTGTGGAGTGTTTGTGAATAAAAATGAAATATTAAGAGAGAAATAAAATAAGTCATGTTTTCAAGAAGAACAGAAATCAATCAATATTTATTTATATAGTTTGAATCATTTTTTAAACATCAGCTGTTCTAAATAAAGGCTAAAGAAAATTATTAGGTGATAGAACTTAACACCCCCCCCTCCCCAAACAAATGTCAGATTTAAATCTTATAAAAGAGTTTTCCATGGGAGCTAAGCTTACAGACAGGGTATATGATTTTAAGGAAAGGTGTTTTCAGCTTGTGGAACCAAACATAGTATTACCAAGATGGTAATAGTAACGGCTACTTGTTTGTGGGTAAATTCACTAAAATAGTAGTACAGTACTTCAATAATGTGGCGTGTAAGGAAAGTCTTTCCCCATTCGAAGCCAGGCATGTTATTTTTAAAATAATAAACTTGCTATAAAGTTTACGTCTAAACATTCCTGTCATGAGGCTTCTGTCGAAGGTTTGTTTCAATGTGCAATATGCCTTTATTTGACCAAATGTATTCAAACCATCCGATGTGTTATCCATCAATCTATGACTGCCATTTTTGTTATGAGTATATTGCAATTTTTAACCAAAGCTTCTCTTACAAAACCAACAAACAAAATAATATTAGCATGTGCATGTGATACTGAAATACTGTAATGTCTTATGTTATTTTACAGCAATACATCATTCACGTGTAAACACATCCACAAGGTTATACAGTATGCTAGGACTACACCAGCAACCCTCTCTTCTCTTCACTTCCACCCCTATCACTAAGGAGCACTAATTCCTTGAGCGGAGCCGGCCCGGCGGCGCGGCAGCGGGCGGCGACTGAATCTATATTTACGAAAATGACTTGGGTTACAATCGAAAAACACAATCATCGAAACTACACTATCGACATAATCATCGAATTAGGATGCAAGGCCGGTGCCGAAAATGAAAATTACCCAACCGTCTGTCCGTCTGTGTGGCAGTCTCGCGATCAAATAGGCCAATTAGAGCAGAATTAGCATCCGATCCCGCGGTGCCGATGGCCTAATAAAGGAATCCATCGCATGCCGAGAAAATGGCGTCCGTCGGGGAACGATTAAAAACATTCGTGCAACGACACCGGTCAGGGGAGGGGGAGTGGCCGCCATACTGGACTATGGTAATCACCTCAATTTGCCTTTTTATCGAGATACGTGAACGAATAAAGTGGCCTCGTGTTATTAAAGTATTAAAACTACTAAATTACAAGGCACCCGGCCCAATCGGAATGGGTGAAGATCGCATCTTACGATTTTTATTCAAATTCGAGACCGACGCCAACTCTGCACACGCGTCGGGTTTGGCGTTTTCCTTGTTGATTTAATTTCTAGCACGATTGGCTTTTTTGGTTAATTTCCGGTAGGGGCCATTTTGAGGACGTTAGTCGCGTGTCTTGAATATTTAATTTGGAAATGGCGACGGTATCAACGCCCTGTAATAGCGCGCCGTTGATCTATCCACAGTGTAGCATTGGCAAGAAATCGACCCTGAATTGTAAATGTGCGTCTGTCCGCAATTCAATTCCACAATTATTAGACGTTCTTACTTTGATTGCATCATTTTCTTTTAGATTCTCCAATTTTGTTAGGTATTTTTATTAGTTTTCAATATAGTCGGAGAAATATAGGATATGACCTTAAAAAATTGCAAGAAAACGTTTTATGGTTTTATTTTGTAGAGTTGGGTTTGCAGAATGACATACTAAAAGTTGCCAAAAATCGGTGCACGAGAAAACAACTAAAATCAGAATTTAAAATGGCGGCTTTTTCCAACATTGGACAAACTAAAAAAAACATATTTCACATGCATTTGTTATGCACATTTTTCGAGATATTGACTTGGGACTACCGCCTGTATTTATTGGGTGGTTAGTACTTCATTTTGATAGGGAACATGTTTTTGGCCGCCATCTTGGACCCGCCATATTGGACATAAATTATTTGTTTTCAATGTAATGATAGTGTTGTGACACATCATTACCAACTACATTTTTACACCGATTTCAATGCCGAAATCCGTTTTTAAATATCTTTATTCATTTAGAAGATATATTCAAACGAATACTCTCCACCATACATTTCTTATGGACCTTTCGTAGTTTGATAATTTTTTTAAAACTATTTTTCTTATATCTCCAGTTCTTATTGACGCTTGTAGTTCGTTCTAGGCTTAAAATATTCAATAATGTAAGGGCTTTCATTTAAGCTCTTGATCATTAAAATCAGACGAGTTAAAGACCAGCTACGAACCTCAGAACAATATTAAATTTAACTTTTTAGAAATATATTTTTATTAAAAGATTTATAACTCGGGTTGTTAATACGTCACAAAGTTATTTCTGGTCTCAAATTACTTGGTAAATGTTTGGCTTTAATTTTATTGATCATTAAACAAAATCTGACAATTTTAAAATGAGTCATGGGCCATAATTTAACATTAAAATGTATTTATATTGAAATTTGTCTTTAGTTAAAGAC